AGAACATGCTTAGCAGCCCTGACAAGCGTGGCTGAGATACCATCGCATCCAATAGCGCAATCCTGCTTTAGATCAATTATAAGACGCTCGATCTCGAAATTATCCGTATTGAGAAGACCCATTGAATAACAAGGCATATCAAACGATAGTTTTGATCCTGCATGGGGATTATAGCTAGTTGGTTTTATTTTAGCAGCTAGATTTTTACCAATATGAGCAAAAAATGAGTTAACAGTGTTTACCGAATTCAATGGATTATCATTTATAGATAACAGCTGCGAAGAAATCGTGTTTTTCTTTTTTAAATTTGTAATTGTTTTAATGAGCTTCCAGGTCGCCTTAGGATTTTTATTATATTTTTTAAATTCGGATCTTTCAAATTCACGTTTAATTTTCTTTAGTAAATTATTGCAAAAATTTCTGTATCTTATATAGGTAATTCGTAAGCAATGATTATTTGGGTTCCTTTTCGAATTTTTATAAAGTTTATCTCTATTTCTTATGCAACGTAATAACCCTGGTGTGATCCAGGGTTTCAAAATTCTGTTTCTACTTGTAAAGTTATTAGTGACAGAGTTATTGGTGACAATTTTTGATAAAATGTCAACAAGGTTTGTTGCCGCTTCCGTGGCATTATTCGTATTGAGAACTGATGAGAAGTCAGTTTTTTCAATAACTGATACACATGCAGAGATATCAGTACGCGTTGTAGATTTATGCTTTTTTGCAGTTTCAAATTTAATGTAACAAATAATAACCATTGGAGCGTGGTCAGTGATATGGGAATCAAGTATGAGAGTCATGGCTGGCTTGTTAGATTTTATTATGGCATGGTCCAGACATTTATTGCTACGCGTAGCGAAAAGATGACCTGGTAACATAGAATGCATTGCAGCTGTAGTTAGATAATTGTCACAATTGCTATCAGTGTTATTCGGTAGAATGTCTATATTGATATCACCAGTAACGACAATAGACCTAAACGATTTAAGTGAATTTAGAATAAGGTCAAGACTATTTGTGAAATCATTGGCATTTCGAATCGAAGGAGATCTATAGATTGCTAAAAGTGCAAGTTCATTACGTAATTTGATCATTAGACAGTTTGCATACGCGATGGCAGGGTTTTCTATCGTAAACGGTAAATTATGTCTAATGTATACAACAACTCCGGCGTTTTGATTAGAGTGATTTGATTTAAAGGAGTCGAAATTTGGTATTTGTGGAATGTAAAGACATTTACTCAGCCAGCACTCTGATAGTTCAACAACATCCATTTGTATTTTAACTCTATGTAAAAGAGCCAAGAGGTTATTGAAGTTGACATCATTACCTATACTTCTAATATTTACGTGGAATACTTTGAGAGATTCATTTATGTTATGAGAATATCCACCACACTGTTCAGGCGAGCATATAGCTGAATTGGAGACGAAGATTTGATCAACATCATCAACTAAATTTGAGTTATTATCCATACAAGAATTTGGTGTAAAAGAAGTCAACAAAAAGTATGTACAGATCATTGATGATATTGGAGTAATATAGTTTTAAGAGCCAAAGATGAAGAGATAATATGTTTCCTCTATTTAAACCGTTTTATGTGTATATGTAAGAATGTGTGTAATAAAATGTATTTGTATGTATAGGTATATAATAATAATAAACAATTATAACATTTTTAATATTATTTTAACAAAGAGACAAAAAATTAACGACAACATAATACAGCATAATTCACCTGCATAATTTAGTCATCTTATATTTTGTACTTTCTTCAGATCCATTTCAGTATTTATACGAATATGAGAGGAACCGTCTCTTTTGCGGAGAAAGATATTTCCGTTCGAAGACCAACAGTAGTTAAAGTCATTTTCCTTTGCAAACTCCCGTGCTAGATAAAATAAACGTCTCAGTTTTGGGGTGAGGGAGTCACTTAGATATATCTTTTTAGGAGGCCCAGCTAGCTGAAGATGCTGGGTGTTAAGGTGCTCGCCTCCTTGCAATTTGTTGAATTTCTTAGAGGAGACAATGAAGTTATTTTTGATTGCAACTGTATTCAGCTCCATTATAATAGGTTTGTTTTCAATGGAATTGTTGTATAAAAAAATACCATTGAAAACAAACCTAAATAACATAAAAGTGTTGTGTAGACAGAACCACAGATCATATTCTTCATAAATATCATAACTTATTTGTGCCAAAATCTAATCTTCAAGTATTATCTGTGCTATTCTTTTAGAAATACACTGATTATGATTTGTTTGTATCTTTATAATAAAGAAATGCTAGAAAATATATTGTGAAATAATATCGGTTATGTTTCTTTTTTTTTTAAGAATTCTTGTCTATGATTTAAGAGTATTGTAAGCTAAATATTTTTTTTTTTTTTTTATTTTGTATAAAAATATAATAATTATGTATCATTTTATTGTATATTAATATTCATTTTCATATTTTTAGAAATGTTTTGTGTGATTAGAATTCACTGTAACAAAGTAAATTGTGCTCTAATTTGTGATTGGATAACCAATTAAAAGCCAATTTTAATTTATAATAGTATGTATTTAGTATTTAAATTTTGTTTAAAGGCTTTTAAATATATTTAACATTATATAGTATTAATACTATTAAGCGAATACTTATTTAGATTAATTAAATCGACATTTGAATTTTATTTTGATAAAATGGCGGTAATGTGGAATGAATGTCGGAACGGGAGATGGATAGCTATAAAAGGCCAATACAGCTCTTGTCACGGCCCTTTTTTTTGTGTCACCCTCTGGTGTACTTGCTGTAGTTAAGTAGACAATTTATTTATTTTTTGTGATCGAGTAAGTTTATTTTAACTTATAAGTAGCATAATTTCTATTTTCAATATGTGATAAATACATGTGATATATCTAATTATTTGTAAATTTTTTGTGGAAACGAAGTAAAATGCTTTTTATTTTAGTATCCTCTTTGATTTCACCCAACCTGTAACTTTATTTAATATTGGTTTAGTAATTGATAATGATTTTTATTATAATAATTAATTAATTTTGGTTGAATTAAATTTTCAAAATAGTTTTGTTTGTCTAAATTAGACTTTTTTGAGCATATTCTAATTTAGTCAAACTTAATTTTATTTAGAAAACTTCAGTAACCAAGCCCATTGATTCAATGTGCTAGTTAATTTAAGATGATAGATAGTATATCAATATTTCTACGATAAAAAAATGTTCCTCTATTACTAATTCCTTCATCCATGGGAAGTTACATCATACGTGGTTGACTACAGTTATAATTTGGTGAAATAGCAGAAAAGTAGATAGTTTCTGAACATTTCTACAAATTATGCAAACCAAATCATTCCTCCTTTGCTAATAACAAAATATCTCCCCATAATCGAGGAACATTTAACTACCTAGTAACACTGATGATTTATTTGTTGTCCCTTACGGTGGCACGCCTATACTGGGTGGAACAGAACGACCGACACTCCCGAGGTTCGTGGAGAGTACTATTTGTCTTCAATATAATGTAAAAAAAAAAATATAAGTCTTGGTCAAATAGTTTCGGTGATATTAAATTACAAAGTTTTTGAAAACAAATGAGTGTTTTCAACCCTGAGTCAGCTGTTTTTGGGACGTACTAAGGAAAAGTTTTAAATCGGTCATTGACTTCTTCATTTCTAAAAACGAAATAAACTAGTTTGTGATTTAAAAGACTGCTTTCATGCAAATTCTACCAGTCAATTAATAAACAAGGCAGTCAAAATGCTTAAATCGATTTACAGACTAACAGCCGGTTTATGATTTGAAAAAAGTAGAAAATTTCTGCTGCTTATTCTCAATAACCTAAGTTTTTTTTTAATTTCACAAGTCAAACAGTCTTAGTTTTATCAAACTGCTATCAACTGATCATCAAAAAACTAAAAACGGAAACGAAAACTAAGTGATGTTAGTTTGAGACGTTTAACTTTAAATACTCAATTAAGAAACCGAGTGTAAAATTTCCTAAATTATTGTAGAGAGATCAATCTAACATTAACTTACGTTATTTTAAAAAAGCAGTTCTCCATAAAAATTGTTTGAATGGGGTAATACTCCTTTAACAACGGGATCGTTCATTAAACTCGATAAACTCACAAATCTTCCAGCGATTCATCATTAACACAAATGAACTTTGTTTTAAAAACATTGAGGAATTTGTTATTAAAATAGCATTTAAAAAGAACTTTAAAAAACGAGTGATATCAAAAGACGAATAAAAAATATATGAACCGAGTTCGTCCCTCAATATCAAAGCCCCGCCCACCCGCCAGCCGCCCGGCGGCTTCATTATTCTGTTGGTATTGTCCGGTCGATCAGTCGCCGCCGACTGATTTTTTTTTGCGCTGGAGTGTTGTTGCGCATCGCCGCCGACGCACCGCTGCGAAGCGTCTTTTTTGTCGATGTTTGTTTTGTTCTAGTGCATTTTTAATTGAATTGTTGTTAATAAGATACTAGAGTGTTCGTCTTGAGTGTTATGTTTAGTTTAGTGAAGATTGTGTTTAGTTTTGTGTGAAATGTGATGTGTTTTGCGCGTGCATACACTGGCATGCAAAAGAGCGTGCTTAGCTGTCTTCAGAGAAGAATTGAACATTTTCAGCATCGACTATCATTAAGATATCGGTAAATAATTAAATTAAATTAATGTATTTCGCTGTCCGTTGTAATCTGCGCACAATCGATATTGCGCATGCGCGTTAAAAGGCTGTCAACACTTAGAAATTTAAAATTTTTACTAAATTTTTACACCTTCTCTATTTTTAAATATTTGTCAAATAAAATGAACGTTTGCATGTAACCTAACTTGAAACTTTCGGCTGTGTCGGTCATTTTGTTCCTCCCTGTATAATAGCCCTCTACTAAGTACTTACTCTAAGGCTCTAATGCAAAGAACAAAGAGTAGTAATAATTGGCAATGAGTAGTATTATAATTCTCTAATGTCAAAATTAATGTCACCTAATGGCATAGTTTTGAAGTTTTATTGTAGTACATAGTTGCAGTACGAAGAATTTACTCTGTATTTAAATAATTTTCATGCCAGTAATTGATAATTTTTTTATAATTATTGGATGTTAAATTGTCGATTGAAATTTCCTTTTAATTGAGAATTATGAAGACTTATAGTAAAATTCTTTCATTCGTAGAAAATATGTGTCTGTTAGACCAATTGGATATCAATTCCTCTTGTTTTTAAGAAATAATACTACCACTACCGAATCTTTTGCTACCACTATACTTATTAGGTATTGGAAGATAAAATGACTTCGTTACATCTTCAAAAGGATAAGAAAAGAGCCCAAGATGAAATGCGTCGACTTATGGCAGAAAGACGTAAAAAGGACTTAAAACCAATCCAAATTAATAATCCTCTAGCAAAGTACAATAATGCTGGGCAGTTGACGTGTGTACTGTGTTCGTCTATAGTCCGATCTGAACAAGTTTGGCCGGTACATGTGAATAGCAAGCAACATAGAGAAAATGTTGAAAATGCAAAGAAATTAAAAGAAAAAACTAATAATTTTACTACTGGGAAATTAAAGCATAAACTATCAGATCCTTCAACTGATGCAGGGGCATCAGTTGAAAAGAAAATTAAAGGCATTTTGAAAAACGCAGGACAAGTTCCGCAACTAATAAGTGTCTCTAATAAAGCTCCTCAAATTATAACCTCTCACAATGAAGAGATAAAAAGAGCTCCATTAAATATGAATATTGTTTATTCTGTAACAAAAGGTAAGAGATATATTTACCTTTGTATTGTTACTATACTTACAAACACTTGGATACCAAGTCATAAATATATTAGGCTAGTTTTACAGTCAAGCTTTTGCTAGTGCATGTGATACATGCTATGTGCTAGAAGCTTTGATTTTTTTATAGAAATTGAAGAATGAATGATTATTTTGAATTGTTGAGATTGATAAATAGGAATAATTTTTTAGATAATTTAATTCAATTCTTTATTGTGATTATGTGGTAAAACAAAATATTCTACACAAATACAGTACCATAACATGAACCCTGTCAGGGCACAACACTTATGCTTAACAATAAAAGACTTAAAAAATATTAGGACTTAAGCCTTATTCTGAATTGTAATAGTAAGCAATCTAATCTATTAAGGAGGTTCTATGTTCATATTTGCTGAAATCAAAAAGATTGGAAGAGTTTTTCCAAATAACTATTTAGGTACTTAGGATCATATTTATGTTGTTCAAAGAAACAAAACAACACAAAATTTACTTTCCTATAATTTTTGTTAACATGAAATTTTATCTTTTTGTGAATGCACAATTAATCAAATAATTATAATCAAATTTCAATCAAAAAATCAAGTAATAAATTGAAAGGAAAATAAAACTACTTCAAATAATAAATAGCTACTTGGAAGAAAAGTCTGAGGGTTTTTTTTAAAGTTATTTATTAATAACTGCTTGACATAACAATAGTATTTTATTTTTTGATATGTAAATACAATGTTAAATAAATACTTTATTTATAAATACTTTATTTATAAAAAATATAGATTAGTGTTTCTGCAGTTATTTACTTGATTGTTTAAGATGAACCTGATGAAAAAGTTAAAGCGGAGCTAACTGCAGAACAGCCAATACCAGAAGGATTTTTTGATGACCCTATTTTAGATGCTAAGGTAAGAATAATAGTTACCACCAGACCAGATTTCATTATTACACCAGATTTTAGAATGAAATCTCTTAATAAATATACTTCTAGCATTTTGTCTGAACAGATTGCTAGAGGTATATTTATTAAGAGATTAACATTATTGTCAACACTAGAGTATAAAACATACTTATAAAAAAAATAATAGTATTCAAATAGTTTGGTGATATTATTTATTTACCAAAAAGTTCTTCAAATGCTTCATGTAAATGGTCAATCATGTCACTGGCTAACATGCTGCGACCTTTAATTTTATATGTTTTCTCATTGCATTTTCTAATTAAAATGGAAGCAGCAAAACAAGACAATGAAACAGCAGTTAAGTTTTTGTGCTCTTTTTGAATGTCAATTGCATTAATGTTTTCTAACATCCAATGCAAAAAAGTTGCTATGGATCCTGACAAGAGATCCCCCTGTCCTCCACATCTTCGTCCAGATCCTCCTAAATTGAATTTCCATTGAACTTCAATTTCTGAACTATATAGTTCATCCATACAACCTTTTCTCAATATAACAATGTTACTCCCTTGTTGATTAAATTCTCCAATGCTATTACAAAGTCTATCATACTCTATCTTATTAGGTGTTAATATTACAGGTGATGAGAAATTTTTAAGTAATTCTGGTTTATTTGAAATTAGGAAAAGACCATCTGCATCAATAACTAATGGAATTTTTTTGTCTTCAATAATTTTAATTAGTTCTGCAACAACATCAAATATATTAGGCTCTCTTCCTAAGCCAGGCCCTATCACTACAGCATGTAGTCGGTCTAACCAAGGTGATACTGTGACTATAGCATTATCTTTGTCTAGCAACGGATGTACTATAAGTTCAGGACTATAAGATTTAATTACTATAGCTGCAGAAGAAGTACAGAAGATATGCACCAAATCAGCCCCAACCTTAAATGAAATAAAATAAACATGTCAAGTTATAGACTGGCAGTGTTTTTAAAGTGCATTATATACAAATATATCTAGTGCATTATATACTTTTAAAGCACTGATTCCAGCAAAATATGGAGCTCCTGTATACTCCATTGAACCTCCTACGATACCTATTCGACCTGCTTGCCCTTTGTGCTTTTTGTCATCCAGTGTGGGGATACATTTTTTGACAAATTCGATCATAGAAGCTTGCTCCATTTTATAGCGTTTTACGTTAGTGAATACTTTCGTAAAGTAATGTAGGATATTAGAAGTATTTGATAATTTTAACATTTGTTTCTATATTACTTTAATGTGTCAAATGTCACTTCAAATGTGCGTAGAAAGAGAAATGTGCGCGAACATAAGTTTTTTTTTTAGTTATGTACCATTGTTAAGGCAAAGAAATCTATAAACAGCGGCCGCGATGTCGCGCAAATATCATGCAATAAATCGAATCGGTAGACAAAAACAATGAGGAAGTATTTAAAAAAAAGGAAGTAGAAGTCGGCGACTCTAGCAAAAATTGATTTTTGCGGAAACGAATGGACCAAAAATAGTCATTTCCGTTCCTTTTAACTAACATTAAAAAATTGAAATTTGCAGAGTTCGAAACTTAGATATCAATACAAATACAAAAAAGTACAAATAGAATAGGAGTTGTTTATCGAGTTTTGAAAATTAATTTAAAGAAAACCGTAAAGGTTATCATGGAGAAATCAAGAAAGTACCGTAGCGACATCTAGTTTGATTTCGGGAACTAATGTTTTTTTTTTAAGTACTTCCTCATTGAATGTTGTCTAATCAAGGCTTCAAATCTGTTAATTTTTACGTAATAATTGTATCCCAAAAGAATCCCAACTACTTTAATTTCGACATTTATTTATTCAAAGAACTTTGATACATAATCTTTAATATTAATATGTATTTCAGAAAGATATGTCAATTTTTATGTGCTCGATTTTACAATTTTGTGGCATTTGTAAAATCGAGCACCCGATGGTTTCTTTTTACCATCTGCAATAAAATAAAAATTTAATTTAATATTTCTTTCTTTTTTCTAAATAAAGTAGTAGGTTTTTATCAATTGCTAATATTAGAAATTTGTATTTTTGTGATTTTAAACAATAATGATTCTCTCATAAACAAATAAGTACTTATATACAAAAATTTGTTCACCAACCCAAGATTCGAACCAGGCTGACGATGATACTGATTATCAATATTCCTAATAATTAAAAAACCAAATTGACTTACCTTACTTTCCTTTTATTAATGACGAAGAGATTCCATTTATTTCATGAACTTACAACTTACACTTTGGTTACACTACACATTGCCAAAAATCTCAATAAATTAATGAGTTAAATGAACTGAACTACTTAAATGAACTAAAGAATTCAATGAACTTATATTTCATGAAATGAGATCAATCACTTACTTACATAGGCGCCGCGAGCAGCGCTGTAAATTCAAATGAATATGATAACAATGGTTTATACTTTGATTAAATAAATATATTAAAATATATTCCACTTTTTGTTCCTTCCATACCAAACACCAATTTCATATGTAAGGACCTAATATTAAGGTTTTAGCTAAGCAAGAGATGTAGTAATTCCTTGACACATTTTCCGGATACTAAAAAAACTTATGCGGGGCGTAATACAGTGATCATGAAAAAAGATAAGTTGTATTTTTTTAGGTTAGGAACATTGAATATAAAGATCCTGTTGAAGAAGAATGGGAGAAATTTCAAAAAGAAATTAAGGAGGAAGCTAGTGCGTCTGCAGAAATTATAGCTGGTGAACAAGAAGAAGCTACCGCTGAAAGGCAAATTGACGAAATTGATGAACAAATCCGAAATTGGAACAAGTATGTATAACAAAATACATGAAATAAAATAATGACACCATACGTAAATTTTACATATTTAAACTTGCTAATCTGTTTTATAACTTAACCGTTAAGGCAAATTTTAGGGCCAAAGTTATTTATCCAGTTTTGTCCAAATTTCATAAACTCTGTCTTGTTCACATTATATGAAACTTCGTGTGTCTTGGCATATTTTACACAAATATTAAGTAATTTATTCAATCCGTTGATGGAGGGAGAGAGAAACCATGTCGTCCGCAACTCAAATTATTTACCGGCTGATTTTACATACGGCAGCCGACACCGGATCTCTCAAGTTCCACAATCAAGCCGTCAATATAGAAATTAGAAAGTAACGGGGACGTAAGCCCGCCTTGCTGGACGCCACAATCGAGCGTATATTCCTCAGAATATTTTTTAATATATTTATTGCTATATAAATATTAGGGCTTCTAAAAAAACCACGACAAGCGGTTTTGACAGTCCTTGCGTGACGTTAACCTGACATTGCTTAAAGAATTCTATTGATTAATAGCCGCTTTCTCCCTTCCAACGCACAAACATAAACACAGTATCATACTAATGCGAGTTAACCCAGGTTTGTCACACGCTGTGAAGCCTGACCGACCTTTGACCACGACCTTTTTCACATGTTCTTATCATACGTGGATCATTTTTCATCACTAGTTATCAGTTTCTTCAAAATGGTTCGGTTTCATTACGCCGTAATAAAGAATCACAAATGAGCACACGGTTCATTAGGTTTTTTCGGTGAGCTGGTGAGTTTTAACGTTTTAAATACCCATCTTTTTTCCAAACTGTTTTTTAGTCAATCCCCAGTTCTTCATCTACGTCGTAATTACTGATATGCCGATCTTGCTCCATTTTTTCAAAAACGTCATCCATTTTATCCGTAACAGGGCGACCGGAGCGATGTGCATCGTTGACATGAAAATTGCGGACGACATGGTTTCTCTCTCCCTCCATCAACGGATTGAATAAATTACTTAATATTTGTGTAAAATATGCCCAGACACACGAAGTTTCATATAATGTGAACAAGACAGAGTTTATGATATTTGGACAAAACTGGATAAATATCTTTGGCCCTAAAATTTGCCTCAACGGTTAAGTTATAAAACAGGTTAGCAAGTTAAATATTTAGGTCACATAAAGGGGCTTTTATCCAGGGTTGAACTCGGTTCACCTTATTTTTAATTCGTCTTTTGATGTCACGCATTTTTATAATGTTCTTTTTAAATGCAATTACTTAAATACTATTTTAATCACAACTCAATGTTTTTAAAACAAAGTATATTTGTGTTAGTGATGAATCGCTGAAAGATTTGTGAGTTTATCGAGTTCATTTAACGATCCCGTTGTTAAAGGAGTATTACCCCATTCAAACAATTTTTTTGGAGAACTGCTCTTTTAAAATAACGTAGGTTAATGTTAGACTGATCTCTCTACGATAATTTAGAAAATTCTACACTCGGTTTCTGAATTGTGAATTTAAAGTTAAACGTCTCAAACTAACATCACTTAGTTTTCGTTTCCGATTTTAGTTTTTTGATGATTTTTATTCAAAATCATTTCTCGGCGAAGTTTGGTGCGTTACGTACAGCACCTTAAGATCGGTCTGTCACTTAAAGGTCGCCGTTTGTACAGTTTTATTACGTTGTGCAATAAAGCATTAATAAATATATACTGAAAGACACATTTTAATAACCAATTGATATATTTAAAATCATGTCCATTCCAATAATTTTACAAGAATGAGAACCCGGAAATATATTGGCGCGAATCCTATCAAAATCAAAATGACAGTGACAGTTAACTGACAGATAGTGCTGCCAATAGTAGTCGATGTTTTTCCCTCTATCGGGTTGTTCTTCGAATCAGTCTTATTCTGTCTTCCATGGGAATAGTTTAAGATATATTTTTTTTGGGACACATATAATGTACTTTTTATTTACATTTTACATTATTTTATAAGTTATCGACTTTAAAAATAAGATACTTTTTATTTTTATCAAAAAAACTCTTCGAAAATATCATCAAAAATTATTTTACTCCCATTCCAAAAGCGTTTCATGACACCAAATTTACCTATAAATTATTAAATATCAACTTAAAAATATATTATCATGTCTGCTTTGACTCCTTATGAGTTATCCTCAGTTTACAAAACTAATCTTTCAAAACACTTATCAATAATCTCTCAAACTTTAAGTTAAATTTTTGTCACATAAAAAAGATCATTCATCGCAAAAACGTCAATAAAATTCTTACAAAAAAAAACCTCATAGCTGGCAACTTTAGTTCACCCTTTTGGGTACGTGGAAGGAGTCCTCAGCCGACGGCAATGCCTTGTTGAACAAATACGTGCACATTCGAGAACGGTGAGTAATTTTTCATGGTTATTTACATTTTGTCATGAAATATGTCATTAGTACTTCTTTCTTAATTTCTTGAATTAACATAGATAACATTTTTGTTTGTTTTTACAACAGTAGCCGGTAGTAGTCGATTTCATTTAGATTTATATTGCTAAGGTTATATGCTCACAAACTAGATCTTGCGGGTTATTTTTCTCAACTCGTCATTCTATGCTACATCATTATGGGCAACTTGATGTTGAGCAGAATAACACTAAGTTTCACATAATGATATATTATAGTAATATTTTACTTAATTATAATGATTTGTAAAAGGAGAATTAAATCTTAAGTCTTGTAATATGTCTGTATAATATTTGAACTCTAAATCTTGTCTCTTGGCGTTATTATTTTATCGGACAATTATTGGTTTTCATTTAAGTTATGCCCGGCCCGTCAATTTGATATTTCGTAACACATTCCTTTTTATCAGACTTAGCCGCTTTATTTATTTATTTTATTTTATAACAATATATTATACTGAAAACATAAAAAAATGTTTTATTGAATGTTGTGATGATTTAAAGACCCAACTTCACCAATCTCAGCTTACCTTATTGGGTGTTTGGTATGAAGTAATTACGACCAAATTTGACATTGTATAGAACTTAAAAAGTCAACTAAATTGTTACAGATTGGTGAAATCAAAACGTTAGAATTTTACTTTTCAAAAACTTTAATATTTCTACTTGCAGCAAAATGCCTCAAACAAAAGATCAAAGATTAGCAAAACAGCTAAAAAAAAAATGATCCAGAGCTGCTTGCCATCGAAAAAGAAAAACGAAGAAATCAATATCTTAAAAGAAAAAAGTTATCCAAAATAATGATAAAACTCCTCGGTCACAAATAGTGAATTACATCAATTGAATTACCTAATTATAAACCAAAAAGACTAACTGCCAGTTGCACAAACGTCCATTAAAACAGTCATTAGTTTATAGCGACATTACCAATACAAATTGGACATCCATTAGATCTTAAAGGCGTCATTAAACCTTAATGGAGGTTTGAGCAACTGACCGTATAATGATTAAGTTCAGAACCAAATAGCTACTCTAGCGTCAAAGTTGCGCCTGGCACAGTTACCTGGCTAAGTGCAACACGGTTAAGGATCTCATCTAGGTTTATTTTGTTTTGTTTGTTTTTATGCCAATGTTTTATAAATAAAGAATATTTTAAGATTATGTAAGTGTTTATTGTGAAGTACCCAACAACTCGTCATTATGTTATTCGCAGATATCATTCTCGACGTATGGTGTCATTTGCCTCAACATGAATAATTCTAAATTTAAAAATATTACAGTAAATATTGGGTTGGCACAAAAGTAATGAGACACACTAGAAAAATCTATAACATTTCCTTTTTAAAATCAATTTTTTCGATAATATTCTAGAATGTTGTAGAACATTCTAGGTACTTCTAGTGTAGGGTATATAAAGCCGCGCTCGCGATTTGTTTAGACAGTTTGAAGAAAAATGGAGGAGCGACAAGTTCGAACACTATACTTATACGAGTACTTGTTAGGCCACAGTGCGCGGGCTGCGGCTGACAATATCAACAATGCATTAGGCGCTGGAAGTACAAGCCATGCGACGGTATCCTGATGGTTTGACCGTTTTAAATCAGGAGACAGGAGCCTTGAAAGTCAGCCACGCTCAGGGCGACCACCCACAGTGAATGATGACGATTTGCGCCGCGAACTGCAGTTGAATCCGGATGCTACCACTCGTGAATTAGCGGAAGCACTTAAATGTAGTCACCACGCCGTGGAACACCATCTGCATGAGCTTGGTTATCGAAAAGTTTTGGCTCGGTGGGTACCGCACATCCTTACAGACGCCAGTCGTGCAGTCCGTGTCGCTATCTGTCAGTCACTTTTGCTGCGGCCCCGACGTAAAGAGTTTTTGTCAGATCTGGTTACTGGAGATGAATCATGGATTTATTACGAGAACGATACACGTCGTGCTTTTTGGCTGCCTCGAGAAGAAACGCCACCAACTCAACCGAAGCCGAGTCAAAAGAACCGCCGAAAAATTCTGCTTTGCTGTTTCTGGGATGCGCAAGGCATACTGTTTTATGAGCTATTACACAATGAAACTATAAACGCTGACAAATATTCAACCCAGCTTACCAAATTATCTGCCGCTATCAAGAAAAAACGACGAAGACGAGTCAATGTAGTTTTACTGCACGATAACGCTCGACCTCACGTCGCATCTGTGGTTTGCCGGCAGTTGGAGAACTTGAGCTGGGAGACGATACCCCATCCACCTTATTCCCCAGACCTCGCCCCATCAGACTATCATTTGTTTAGAGCCCTGAAACAGCATTTGCGGGGTAAACAATTTAATGATTTCTCTGACGTAGAGGCGGAGTTGAACAACTTTTTCGAGGCACAGCCATCAGAGTTCTGGGCAAAAGGCATCCAAACTTTGCCGGATCGTTGGCAAGAAGTCTTAGATACTAATGGTAATTACATCATTGACTAAACATTTTTTATTGTAATAATAATAAAAAAGTAAAAACTTAAACCAAGTGTCTCATTACTTTTGTGCCAACACGATATTATAATTCGATGAGCGCCTTTCATTTTAAAATTAGATTTTGCACCCACAAATTACATAAAAATTAATAAAAACGCATATCATTGAGGTTTTAAAAAAATAAGAAAACTTGATAAGAATAATATTTTTCGAAGAACAACCCTATCACTATACTTAAATAGATTTAAAAACCAAATGAAAATACCATATAAATAAAAGAAATAACTAATAAAGCGTTGAGATTTTTATATTTTTTACTTATTTAACTTTCAGAGTTTTGGATTTAGAGATGAAAAAGGAAGAAACTAAAAAGCAAAGACAGGAGATAGAGCATATGAGTGAAAATGAAGATTCTGACTCTAATAATGATGATAATATCGATGAATTTCTAGATTGGCGTGCAAAAAGATCGTAACAGTTTTGGTCTTCGATCTTCAAAACTGACATGTGACATGTTTCACGTTTGCTTGTTGTTATAAGTGATCTAAATGTACCTTCGCATTGTACGGCTATCCGGATGTGGGTAGTTGCCTGGGTCACCGCAATCAACAATATGTATGTTATGAAAATACTAAGTGGTTCTAACGATCTTATATTAGATTCTAGTGTAATAAATAAACTTATATTCATATTTTTTGTGTTTTCACAATATTTTATAAATGCTTGCTTGTTCTCTTCTCGAGTTTGCAAATAAGAATACACCCAGTACCTTTTTTGATCATTTCTCTTTTTAAAATGCTCGTATTTAAAGTAAAAAATATTACAAGTTTTTGACACCATGAAAACAATTCGTTGGTGAAGATCACCATATATGGGACATTATTTAAATAAAATTCAATTCGCAATAAACTCTGCCGTCAATGAAACTACTAAATTCACGTCAGCATTTTTAGTATTCGGACGTGAATTAGTTACCTGTGGTCCCATATACAATACAAAAGATTTAACTGAAGAAATAATTTCCTAAAGACGTATATGCTGAAAACATTGGCTATTTCATCCCAATTTTTTCAGATGTACAATCATGACTTTACAATGCACATGAAATTACAACGAAGTATAATAATAAACACCACCAACATCTTGAATTCGAAAAAAGCAACATAGTTTAGAAGAAAAATTATCCTATTAGTTCTTCAGATAAATATTTTTCATCCAAATTGGCACCTAAATTTACAAAATGTATTATAACTAACAATTATGACAGTCATTCCATTAATTTACGATTTAGCCGATTTAGCAGATTTGTCTATCCATCGACAAGTGTATAAATTGACGTTTAAGATGGCTGCCACTTTAATAAATAAAACTAGGTAAGTCCATAAACTATATTCGGTATTTTTCATACTCCGATATATTTGATTAGTATAGTGTGTCCAAATTTAAATACGTTTTTATTGCTTTATCTCTTATTTAATTGTTGTTTTTATGTTTTGTTATAAACTTTTATGAAAATCGTTATTCACTAAAACTCCTAAAAATAAATGTATTATAATAGCCAAAAACATAGAGTTTGGCAAGCGAAACGTGACACCACCTATTTTTCCGTTTTCATATGGCAACAACATAGAACTGTCAGTTTGACACTACGTTAGACAATTCAAGAATATTGAATTTTGTTGTTTTTGCGAATTTGAACTTGTGTTTTTGGTTAAAAATTATGTCGAAGCCGATAAAAAGTTCATCGAGGAAACTTCTTTCCATCATGATTGACAAGTTTACTGAAGTGAAAACTGAATTAAATAAAAATTTCATGGAGAAATTACAACGATTAGATAAAGTTGTATCTTTTTTAGGTTAGTTTTGTATTATAATTTTGATACTTTCGTTTTAATTTTCTGTAATTAACTAAACAGATATTTTTTATAAAATATTGCTCTATTTCAGATAACTGTGATGGTGATATTCAACCAATAATGGAGGAGATAAATGCAATAAAAACTTTAGAAAAACAAGAAATGCTGAATTCGGAAACGCAGTACTTACAAAAAATTTCTTCAATGACAGGTCTCTTTTCTTGTTTTGATTTAAGATAGATTGATAGTATTCCTATAATATTTACATAGGTTTTTTATGATGTATTGGTTTTTATTGTTGACATCCAATGATGTCATAAGAATGTTTTGTTTAACAAGGAAATTCACAGAATTCATGAAACTAATCAAACCATGTAATTGTTATACATGCTAAATATGCACATAAACTTAACTAAATTAAACATAAATTGCATTCATAGTTGAATAGGTATTTAAATTATTTTGATGTATGTGTCTATCATTATTTGCTTTTAAATACATTTAACATATCTTTGTTTCAAAGTGTTTAATCTTTTATAGATGTAAGTATAAGGACACTAAGAAGGATAAAAAATGAAGCATTAATTAATAAAGGAAAATGGGACACTCCTGGGAAAAAACGACCTCATCAACCAACAGTGTCTGCTTTAGATAATTTTGATTTAAGTGCAATTCGGAATAAAGTAAATGAATTTTACTGTGTGAAAAAAATTGTTCCAACATTAAGAAGCCTTCACAATGAATTAAAAGATGCAATAGGATTCAGTGGTAGCCGTGAGACTTTACGAAAAATTATGCTTAAGAATGGATTTTCTTTTAAAAGCAATGAAAATGAACGTTCTAGGCTTATAGAAAAATACCAGATTTCTGCATGGAGGCACAAGTATTTGAGAGAAATAAATATAAAACGAAACGAAGGAAAGCAAATTGTGTACCTTGATGAAACTTATGTACATCAGAATTATAAAGTTAAAAAGTCTTGGCAAGGACCTTCAACAACTGGTGTCACTACAAAGATATCCTCTGGAAAACGGCATATTGTTGTGCATGCTGGATCTGAGGAAGGTTTTGTGCCTGGTGCATTATTAGTGTTCAGTAGTAAATCCAAATCTGCTGATTATCATGATGATATGAACTCATCGAACTTTATGAAATGGGTCAGAGAAAAATTAATACCAAATTTAAGTAAGCCCAGTGTAATTGTTATGGATAATGCCAGCTACCATATAAAACAAATCAATAAACCGCCTATAATGTCTAATACCAAAGCAGATATCCGTAAATGGCTTGTAAATAATGGAATACATTTTGAGGAATATCAGACAAAGGCAGAGTTAATGTGTTTGGTTAATGATAAGAAAACATTGCCTGTATATGAAGCTGAAGAGATTTTAAAAGAACATAATCATGAACTTTTATTGCTGCCACCGTATCATTGTGACTTAAACCCAATAGAGATGGTTTGGAGTCAAGCAAAAAGAAAAATTGCAAGCAGAAACATTGGAATACCAGGAAAGGAAATGGAAAACTTAATAATAGAGTGTTTTAACTTAATTACCCCTAGTGACTGGAAGAAATACACTGATCATGTTTTAAATGTCGAAAATGATTACAAATTAAAAGATGGCATTGTTGAAAACGAACTTGAAAAATTTATTATATCTGTTGGTGCAGACAGTAGTGAAGAGAGTGACTCTGATGATTCCTTGTCATTGTTATCAGGTGTAGAATATTTAGAAACAGATTTTGACTATGAATCAGACTAAAGTATTTTTAGTCTGATTCATAGTCAAAATCTTATCTTAAATTTTCTATTGTGATTAACATGATGATTTTGTGACACCTGTATTATGTAATTTATCCATGGCACTTAATTGTAACAAAAATAAATGTTTTTTTTATTGTAATCTGGTGTTTATATTGACTAATTTAATTTGATAGATAGTGGTTCTGGATCAGAGCAAAAGGTTGTGATGAAAATCCCTTAGGAGACATGTATGTGTTATGAACACATTATAAATATAAGGGCCAGAAATCAAAATTGGCTAACATCACATTTATTAAAAAAATGTGGCCAGAGTCGCCCATATTCATTACAAAAAAACAAAGAAGTCGTTGCAAAAAACACCCTTTTAATTAATGACAAATATGAATTTTTAATATTATAAGTGCTGTTAGCCAATAGGTATAACGAATGGGTTAAAAAAAAGATTCGATTTAGTCCGTCAGTCAGATAATAGAAAAATATTGGATACGTATTTTTTTTCGCTTTAATTTAACAACAAATGGCTTAAGAGGTACTATGCGACGACTTCAAATATGCTTTGCAACAATGTTACTTTAATACAGTTTATCGATACGAAATCAAGTGTCAAAATGGAGTCCAGTGGAGAATGCCGATATTGACATTTCGAAATTGCTCATCATTGATAGAGAATACGAAATAGTGATTTTGACACAATCAAAGTGTCTATTTTTTACGGTGATGACGATTCTTGGTTGTCAGTTGAGTTAGTGAATAGGCCTACTGATATGCTGTTAACTGTACAATTAAGAACAGTCACGCTTTAGTCAAATGTTCCAAAACAAATAATTTTAATTGATATCTAAATGTTAAGATTAAATATAATTAATAAAAGTATCAAAATTATTTTGCAGTACTACATTCAGTGTTTACTGCTTAAGAATTTTTGAAATTGCCGCCCTTTTCTTGTGACACGTTTCGCTTGCCAGACTCTATCTTTGTGATTTCCAATTTTTTCGTTATGGTGGACATATCGGATTTTGATATTTAACTACACATATTATTCTACACTTTTACACTTAAACAACACACTCAATAACACTACACTTTTCATCTAAAGTCAGCGGGTGATGTCACATTTAAAAAAAAGCCTACACTGGGTACGGACTGGAGTACACTTTCGCACCAAAGGCCGGTTTTTGTGTACGTCAGAGACGATATTTGTTCTCGGCGCCTTGGTCAGCTTGAAAGTAGGGATCAGTCCATCCTATGGCTTCATGAAGACAGTGACGACCGCCCCCGCGTCTATTCGTGCCTCTATAGGTCCAATGACCGCGATGCCGAAACTGACTGACTCGTCGAGCACGTCCAAACGGCTGCAGACACTGTGCAGCAGCAGATCTCACTAGCAGAGATCGTGATACCGAATGGCTTGGTTCTACCAAGAGCGACCACGAGGGAAGATCTGTTGACGCCTTCGCTCTTGCACAGGACTTGACACAACTGGTCACTACGCCTACCCGAATACCAGATGTCGAGAGTAATGATCCTTCACTGTCTCTGATCTTTTGTTAACCTCCCGTTCCGACGGCTACTTCATATGTGTTGCCGCTCCACTTGGCTCCTCGGACCACTGCCTTATTAGAAGTATAGTGCCACTCACGTCCTTGCAACGACCACGTGTTGCACGTAGTCGCCGTGTGTGGCATTACAAGTCGGCAGAATGGGATGGGTTGCGGTCCTTTTTTGCGCCCTAGCCTTGGAAACGTACGAGGGTCAAACTGAAAGTTCTTAGAAAATCAAAAACTGATTACATTAGCCAGTTATTAGTTTTATTATATCTTTTCAAAATATTGTCCATTCACGTCAATACACCGCTGCATGCGATGGAACCACTGGGAAAAGCACTTTGCCCACTCGTCCTTAGGGGTCTCTTCAATGGCATCGCGATACGCAGCCACCGCTTCTTCAGCATTCATAAACCGCTTTCCTTTAAGTTTTTCTTTAATTTTTGGAAATAAATAAAAATCACAAGGCGCGAGGTCGGGGCTATACGGCGGGTGACCCAGTAATTCAATGTTTGATGTCG